TTTCCAAGGCAGAAAGCTGTGTAATACATTTTGTATATTTGTTTGCCCCAATACTCTTTTAGTATTGAGTCATTTTTTATATGTTACTTGATGTTAAATTGTTTAAAATCAAATTTAGAGTTTACCTTTTCAGTGTCGTACACATTTCAAGTGTTGAGTAGTGGCTCACGATAATGGCTACCACATTAGAGCTGAAGAAGAATGCCAGCATAGCTGCTCTGACTGAATGCTTCCCAAGAATAGTGGGACTAGGGCTTTGTATTCAGGGTCAAACTTCAAGGAGGTGGTGGCCAGGAGTCTGCATTCATTTTTGTGTGGTCACTTATTTTCTTCTTTTCAGTATGTTGGCCAGGCTGGAAAGATCAGAAAACTCTCTAGAGAATAAACTCTAGAATTCCAAAGGCAAGTAGTACAGGAATATGACAGGGAGGAGTTCTCTTTCTGTTGACCCTTGTGCAAGGCATGATAAAATAAAGGGAATTATGAGCCCAGGTTTTTTTTTCGGGGGGGGGGTCCTTTTTTGAGACATCTGCCTGCCTCTACCTCCCAAGAGCTGGAATTAAAGACTGGCACCACCATGCCCAGTATGAACCCAGTTTCATGAGAAAGCCATTGACTGTTTTCTGTCAGTTTGTTAATTTGAAATTGTATATCTACTGTGTAATATCCTACTTTCAGTATTTTAGACTCTATTAGCTTAGAAGAGTAATAGTTTTACAAATTAATAATTTTCTTAAAGTGGCTTCTATTCCTGTTTTCTCTGGTTAGAATTAGATGAGGTATAGTTGGCTTTAATTATGGAACAAAGGTAAGTGTCCTACTTGAGTTTGCATTTAGGGTTTGGACTGGTTCAGTTGTTTATAAAAAAAAAATTAAATCCCCCAAACTTGATGTCTTTCAAAGATTATCACCCACCCTTATGCTAAAATTGAGAGAATTGACCTTTTAAGTTGTATTCTGTCATTTCTAAGCCCAGTAGTCTGTAGCATTATTCTCTCTTTGTGACTAGTAATATTATTTAAAGACCATACACTGAGTGAATCTTGAATATTGATTTAATCTCTCAATTGGCATTTTATAAATACTCCTCCAGAGGAGACTGAGAGAACTATATTCATTAAGTGGATCAAGTGCAACAAGCCATTTCTTCAACAGCAGCTATTTTGACATTGGGGGTGGAGTGTTGAGTGGTGTTATTCTCCAGTGGTTACTGGTACAGGATATGGAGAAATTCCAGTTGTGAATAACCTATCTTTTTAAGGAAGTCACAAAGCTCTTGTGATAGCAATCTATTTTTGCTCTGCAGACTCCTCCCAACTATGCTCCTTCTTTAAGAGTATCCTTTAATGGCCTTTATTATTTAAATTGTGACTTAAATGTTCATAACTTTTTAAAGATGACCTTAAAATAAACTTAAGGTTCATTGATTGCCAAACAGTTAAATACCTTAATAATATTTTTTAAAAATACTTTATTATTTTTATGTGTATGGGTGTTTTGCCTACATGAATGTAAGTGCATCACATGAGTTGCATTGCCCCTCAGAGGCCAGAAGCGGGTATCAAATCCCCTAGAACTGGAGTTATGGATGGTTGTTAGCGGCCATGTAGGTGCTGAGAACCAAACCCAGATCCTGTGGAAGAACAGCAAGTTTTCTTAGCCTTTGAGCCATCTCTCCAGCCCCAGATACCTTAATAATTTTAATAGTATAATGAATACTGAAAAATGAAACTGATGGAAGAGGATTTTTTTTTTTTTTTTTCTCCATTACCTTTACTGAAAGGTACCGGTCAGGTCCTACTCAACTTCTGAGATAAACAAGATGAGAGCATTCAGGGTGGTATGGTAGACAACTAGAGGACCTTTATGTTAGGTAAAGCGCAATGTAACCATAAAGAACAAATGATTCTTTATGCCAGTGTTAGAACCAGTAATAAAGATTCATTCTGATGTTGCTTTGGGATAGAAGCCACCCAAATCAATATTCATAGGGCTCCAGAGACGAGCTAGATTTCAACATGATTGGCTTCTTCGGAAATCCTGTGTATTTGATTTGAAATATTGTGAAGGGGCCCGTAAATTTTGCGAGCCATGTTAGCACCCATGCCTTCATTAGCACTGTTGTCTTTACCTAGAGAAGAAGACCTCTTGCCTTGCTTATGGAATTAGCTTTGAGCTGGTGTCCCTCCTTCCTGTTCTTGTCTCCCTATGTATAGCTTCATACACTTTCTAGAAGCACTGCTGTGGTCTTTTGACTTCATTTTAAGAAATATCCAGTGCCTCCAAACTCCTGAGCCTGCCTTTGGAGGAGTCCTTGTCTACCCGAGTCCAGCCTGAGTGTTGTCCTCACATACTCTCTCCTGCAATATTTGCTGGTTCTCCCTATGGGAGCTGAGCTGGCTTTTCATCCTTATCCAGTCTCCTGATTTTGTAGTGCTTTAAGTAGCTTCTGCCTAGATGTCTGGCCCTGTCTTAGGAGTACATGTGCCTTACTGTACCATTTCCCCTTATGTTCCTACATCACAGTATAGCCACCAGTCTAGAGAATTCGGAACCCTTGAATGTCTTTGGATTTGTTTTTTGTTTTCAAACTCACTGTGGTAGTTGGAAGTTGCCTCATCTGGATGTTTGTGATTGTTTAAAACTTGATCTCCATGCTTTGGAGGTCTCCTTCACAGTTTTCAGCATTTCATTTCCTCAAAGACAAGTGTTTAGAAATACTCTCCTTGGGGCTGGAGAGATAGCTCAGAGGTTAAGAATACTGACTGCTCTTGCAAAGGATCCGGGTTTGATTTCTAGCACCCACATGGCGACTAATAACTGTAACTCCAGTTCCAGGGGTTCTAACGCCATCTTCTGACCTCCACAGGCATTGCATGACTCAGGTGCACTTACACACATGCAGGCAATACACTCATACATATAAAATTAAAATGTAAATAAAACTTCTTTTAAAAAGCAACTTCTTGGGCTGGAGAGATGGCTTAGCAGTTAAGAACACTGGTTGTTCTTCCAGAAGACCCAGGTTCAAATCCCAGCACCCACATGGCAGCTAACAACTGTCCATAACTCCAGTTCCAGGGGATCTGATGGCCTTTTCTGTCCTCTCGGGCATTGCATGACACAGGTGCACTTACCTACATGCAGGCAATACACTCATATGCATAAAAATAATAAATAAAATATATAAAAGAAAATCCAATTTTTTAAAAAACAACTTCTTTGGAGAAATGTCTAATCAGATCCATTGATTTTTTTTTTAATTTTATTTTTTGTTGTTGAGTTGTAAGGATTCTTAGGCTTTGAGTACAAACTCCTGAATGATTTGCAAATATTGTTCTCATTCTGAAGGTTTTTGTTGTTGTTGTTTTTGTCTTTTTTTTTTTTTTTTTTTTTAAAGCCCAGCTAGCCTGGAACTCACTATATAGACCAGGCTGGCCTCAAACTCAAAGATCTGCCTGCCTCTGCTAGGATTAAAGGTATGGACCACTACCCAGAGCTCATGCACCACCACACTCAGCTGAAGGTTTTTGTTTCTTTTTTAATCATTTTTCATGCATTATTTTTATTTCATATAACTTAATGTTAATTTGGGGTATCTCAGTACTTTTACTATTAAGCTTGTAACTTGCTTTAGAGAAACCAACGTAAACTAAAGCAATTCATGAAGGATACAAAATTATGGGTATAGTAAAGTTAGTGTAAATAGCATATGAAGATAAAGCAACAGAAGATGAGAAAGTTTAAAAATTGGTTTAAGGTGCTGAAGAGATGGCGCTCTCTCTCTCTCTCTCTCTCTCTCTCTCTCTCTCTCTCTCTCCCTCTCTCCTCTCTCTCTCCTCTCTCTCTCTCTGTCTTAGGCTTTGCCAGTTAACCTAGACTGCTGACTGACCTGTGAGCTCCAGCGATCTTCCTGTTGCTGTGTCCCCAGCACTGGGATTTCAGGTGCACCACCATGCCTGGCTTTTGCTTTGGGTGCCAGTGATCAAACTCAGGTCCTCATGGCTTATGAAGCAAGCACTTCACTGACTCAGCTGTCTCCCCAGCACTGTAAAATGAAAATTTAAAAGCAATATTGGTCATCTAATTTGAAATGTGAATAAAGAAGACACCATTATATAATGCTTTGTTAAAGAAAGAGATGCTGGGGCTGGAGAGATGGCTCAGCAGTTAAGAGCACTGACTGCTCTTGCAGAGGACCCAGGTTCGATTCCCAGCATCCACATGGCGGCTACAAACCATCCTTAACTCCAGTTCCAAGGGAATCTGAAACCCTGTTCTGACCTCCGTGGCATTGCATTGACATGGGTGCACTCACATATATGCAGGCAATATATTCATACACATAAAATAAAAATAATAAAATAATTTTTTAAGTATTTTTAAAAAAGATGCTATGGGAATGGAATTTTTCTAACTCAGAAGTTCAAACCATCTATTCTGCTTTATGCAAAAACTTTAGTTACCATTAATATACAAACTAGGAAGATGATCTCTCAGTTAAGACTCTTAAGAAATCTGCAAGAAAAACAATTCAGGGCCCAGGAACATAACTCAGTCAATAGAGTTTTTTGCCCAGCATGCATGAAGTCTTGGATTCAATTTGCAGCACTGCTTAAACTGGATACAGGGACACGTGCCTGTAATCTCAGCACTTGAGAGATGCAGAGAGGAGGATCAGAAGTTCAGAGTCATTCTTGGCTACATAGAAAGTTCAAGGCCAGCCTTGGATATATGAGACCCTGTCTCAGAGTCACGCAGATTGAGGAGAGCAGGAGAGAAACGGACAAAATACAGCTGTTTAGAAAGCCCTTCTTGCTGAGTATGGTGAATCTCTGTGAATTCAAGGCTAACCAGGTACTGTAATACCCTTGTCTTTTTAAAAAAAAAAAAAGCCAGATGTTGTGATGTATGCCTTGCCTTTAAATATATACCTTGAAGTAGTGTTTTATATTTGACATTATAAAAATTGTAAGCCTTTTGTACATTTCTCATTATAGGCCTCAGGAGTGCAAGTTGCTGATGAAGTATGTCGCATTTTTTATGACATGAAAGTTCGGAAATGTTCTACACCAGAAGAAATCAAGAAAAGAAAGAAGGCTGTCATTTTTTGTCTCAGTGCAGACAAAAAGTGCATAGTTGTTGAAGAAGGCAAAGAGATCTTGGTTGGAGATGTTGGTGTTACCATAACTGATCCTTTCAAGCATTTTGTGGGAATGCTTCCTGAAAAAGATTGTCGTTATGCTTTATATGATGCAAGCTTTGAAACCAAGGAGTCTAGAAAAGAAGAATTGATGTTTTTTTTGTGGTAAGCATTTAGAGTATTGAGCCTTTGTAAATCTATTATTGTCAGCACTTGAAGAACCAGTTCAAGAACCAAAGTAATTTGTGGAAGGGAGGGTATTGTGGTATTGGGGATTAAATCCCGGGCCTTGTATGTGCTAGGCAAGTGTTCTACTACTAAGTTACATCTCCAGACCCCTCAAAATAACTTTAATTCAAGCTGTTTGTATTTGTTGTCATTTAATTTCTGTTTATAGGCTTTTATAACATCTTAACTATATTGATAGTGTTAGCCACTTAATCTACTTGATAGGTGGATATTTTCTGTGGAGGGGGAAGATGGTTTTTATGGATGCTTATAACTCATTACTTGTAAACTAAAATTTCCTACTTTTACTAAATTTTCCCACTTAAAAGCCAAAACCAGGGCTGGAGAGATGGCTCAACTGTTAAGAGCACTGGCTGCCCTTACAGAGGACCCGGGTTTGATTCTGAGCACATGTGACAATTAACAACCATCTATAACTCCAGTTCCAAGGGATCCGATGCCCTCTTCTGACCTTTGCATGCATTACACAACATGGGTGCACTTACATACATGTAGGCAATATACTCATACACATAAAATAAAAATAGTCAAAACCTTACTCTTTGTGTGCGATGCAGAGAACCAGCCTGCCCCTCTACCAAGCACACCTTCTTTACTTGTGCATTGTAGTTTGCTTCTTGAAGTAAGTTGGTGCCATTCCTTCTCTCTAATTTGCTGGATGTTTGTATTATCTAGTCATGTAGCCATTAGCTACACATGGATATTTAAATTCTAGTTTTTAAAATGTCTGTATTTTGAGACAGGGTCTTGCTGCATAGCCCAGGCTGGCCTGGAACTCAAAGCAGTCCACCCCCATTTTAGCCATCCTAGTACTGTGAATGTAGGCGTGTTCCACCACACTCAGCTGAATTTATAGCTTAGTTGAATGAATTTCTGCATTTTGAATGTATAGCCACGTATGACTAGTGACCATTCTATTTGACAACACAGATATAGACCATTTCCATTGTTGCAAAAAGCTCTGTTGGACAATGCCCCTATGTAGCACTATAAAGTGATTTCTGTGGCATGTTGTTGAAAGTTCTGGTTCTCTCAATGAGTGACTATTTGAAATTAAGCCTTAGATAAAAGTCATGTATATCCCTCAATTAAATTATACCATATTTCTTGATATGGCTAGGTAGACACATAATAAGAACATTCTCTAGCTTCCAAGGGAAAGGGGAAGTGGCTGTACCCTCTAATTTGGGAAGATGTGAGGCTTTTTGTCCTGATGCAGGGTAAAGCAGAGAAGGTCTTGGCTGTTAGCTGTGCGCCCTCAAAACTTAGGGCATAAGGGATACAAGCCCGCAGGTCACAGAACTCAAATTTGTAGGAAGGTGGTAGTACATTGCACCTCACTTCCATTTCAGTAAGGCTTACTGCACTGAGTTGAATAAGATGCTGTAAAGAATGTGAGTGTGAGGTCAGATAAGGACAGCTATTGAGACTGGTATATAAGGATAATAGCCGATAAGACTTAAAAATTAGTCGAATTTGAATGAAGGTCTGTTCATTAACCTTTATTTCTCTTACACACCAGTTACAGTGGTAGGGCCTGAGGAAACAGTCCCGTGAGTAAAACCAGTAAAGTTCCTGCCTTTGGGAATTTGTTGCTTTGTGGCAGCTAAATAGGCTTTTAAGTTGGGCGGTGCCTTCTTCACTTGCATTTTGTTTATTTTTTTCACTATGATTCTACATGTGCCCACTTTTACTTCAAAGGAGGTAGGAAATATAAAACTCGACTTCCTTGTCACTGCTGCAGATTGTTTAATACCATTTGAGTTGTGCTTTCTCTAAACGTTTTGTTTTCATTTTGGGCGTTCTTTCATCTAGGGCACCAGAACTAGCACCTCTGAAAAGTAAAATGATCTATGCGAGCTCAAAGGATGCCATCAAAAAGAAATTCCCAGGTATGGACTAGCTTTACCTCTTAAATATTTACAGCTATGATGAACCCCTGGAATGGGGATGGAATATGTCTTATTTTCTTCGGAAAGCTTTGTCAACAAAGGGAGAAATGCCCCCTGAGCATCTTCTGCCTTGGGCTGATCATGCTGTGTCTACAGGTCGATCTCATAACCCTGTTTCTTCAGTAGTGGCTATGTATCACTTGTTCCGGATGGTTTTAAGCTAGTTTCTCATGTAGCAGGAAGAGATTAATTAATGCTATTCATATTTAATGAGTTTACAGTTACCTTTGAATGTAGTTGATATGACAGTTATATAAAGGAAATGTTCATAGGTGGGAAGAATTCTTTGCTCTCTAGCTTTACTGTCAAATGGTATGATTTTAGGTAATTGATTCATCTGTGTCCAAAGAAAAGTACACTCACCTTGAGCTGGCCAGTTGTTTTTGACTTGTCACTGAGTGGCTTGGGTCGAGATGAGATGGCCTTGGCCAAACTTCATCCAAGAGAAGACACTGGTATGGTGGAAAGAGCATGGGGCACAAGCCCAGAGGCTTGCACGAAGGCTAAGCTTGCTGTCTAACTGCTATGTGACTTTGGCCAGAATTGATAGCCTCATGGGCCCTGATGATCCAGCTCTGGAGCAGGAGGCTTGGTCTGAGTAGTTGCCTGCCAACCTCCTGCTTCAGTGATCTCCAAAAAACTTAAGAGAGCCAGGGTCACGAGTGCTTGCTCAGTGTTGGTGTTTTGTTTGTTTTTCTAACTGGTTTTTGTAGTCTTACAGGAGAACAGGTTTGCCCCAGCTTGCTTTACTGAGTTAAGTAAATGGAATTCATGCTTCCTTTCCCAAGCCTGCTACTGCTACATGGTCCAGTGCCTTGTCAGGTTTCTTCATGCATTTGGGTTGATGTTGGGGTACCCCAGAGTATGCTCAGTTGTCGGTCAGCTCTATGTTTTCAAGTGACTTCCCAGCTTCAACACTTTTGTGCTGAAGCCAAAGAGAGTAACCTCCTCTTATGTGCATTGCCTTTCAATAAAAAGAAATGCTATTTAGACTTGATCTGATAGATTAAATGATAGATACCTGTCACTTTCTTTTTTCTAGTTATCAGTGACTTTCTCAAATCATTCCAAAGTTGTCCAAAAACTGACATGCTGTGTTTTCAGTCGTTTGAGAAAGAAACGACTGTGTACAATCCCAAAAATGAATTTATTCTGCGGCGTGCTGTTATTGTTCTAAAAATGCCCTCAGTACCACATCTTAGTGTTCATTGTGCTAGATTTCTTAGATGTGGAGTATAATATCACTTGAGGGCTAGGTGTTTTCTGTGCACAGTGTTGCCATGGGTATTTTTTTTTTTAAAGAGGATTCAGTTGACTAAACAACTGTGCAATCAAAACATAATTCATACTTTCTTTTTTAAAGACTTACTCTATTTTTTTAATTGTTATTCTTACTTTATGTGTTTTTACCTGCATGTATATGAGTGTACCATATGTGTGCAGTGCCCACAAAGGCCAGAATATGGTGTTGGATCCCCTGGAACTGGAGTTATGAGTGGTGGTTAGCTGCCATGTGGGTGCTGGAAACCAAAGTATTCCTTTGCAACAGCAGCCAGTGCTCTTAACTTACTGAGCCATCTCTCTAGCCCCTATTCTGTTTTATTTTTAATTATGTGTGCATGTGTGAGTGCAGGTGCCCTTGGAGTCCAGAAAAAGGTGTTGGATCCCATGGAGCTGGAATTAAAGGCAGTTGTGTGTGAGCTGTCCATTGTGGCTGCTGGGAATCAAACAGGTCCTCTACAAGAGCTGGAAGCACTCTTAATCACCGAGTCATTTGTCCAGCCCCCACATTTCATTGTTTTTTAAAATGAAAAAATTGTTAGACATGCCTTTTTATTAAATACCATATCTTTAGAAAAATACACTTCACAAATTATTATAAAACTTAATGTTCGCAGACTGGACATAATGATTGATTTTTGTCTAATGACTAGTCATCCAAAAGCATCTCATGCCCCGTCTCATTCGTACCAGTCCCCTAAATCTTCCTGAATCCCAGGGATAACCAGTACCTTGGCTTCTAGCTTGCATACATTAGTGATTTGGAGTTAGTAACATAAACTGAATCGCACAGAATGTACATTTGTTTTTCTGGTTGCTTTCGGTCAGTATTGTTTGTTAGGGGTCGTCATTTTGATGCGTGTACTTACAGATTATTTCTTCATTATTCCATGGCTCTAAAATACCATAATTTATCTGTATTCCAAGAGTCTTTAAAATAGTTTGATGTCTTAAAGAAATAGCTAAGTGGTTGCAGAATTCTAAGTAGAATTTCTGTTTTTCTCTCTAGGCATAAAGCATGAATATCAAGCAAATGGGCCAGAAGACCTCAATCGGACTTGTATTGCTGAAAAGCTAGGTGGCTCCTTAATTGTAGCTTTTGAAGGAAGCCCTTTGTAGATTATTGGTCAGTGCCACAAACTGAAAGCTTCCGTGTTTATTGCTAGCCTTGCTATATAGGTAAAGCAGATATACTAGGCCAGGGTTTCACTGAGGGGGAGCTGTCTTGTCATCTTTTAGAGTAAACTAAATATTCTATAGACTTGTATGAACAATGCCCTAAATAAATCTAGTTTCATTGATGTGGAATTAAATTCTTATTGGCCAAATGCCTTTTTTAATGAGTTGACTTGTAAAAATTTTTGTTCACCTCAGGATTTCTAATAATACAGTTCACAAAAAAAATAAAAAAGGCGATGTGAAGAGAATGCCTGCATCTCTGTTAACCTCAGCAGTTACTTTGTTCTTTTGCTTAGAGAATTGGTTATAATCTGTTTATAATTTTAGCTCCAAAATTTCTATTCTTCCTTGACTTGAACAAAATAATGTGATGTGATTCTCTTTGTAACATATAACACTAATACATACTCATAGCAGGAAGACTAAGCCAGACAGTCTTTAATTTCATCAAATGTGTTTTAAAACCACCTCAGAATTGTGTCCACTTAAAATTTACTCTGATCTTGCAAAGCACCAGTCCAAGCACACTGCCAGAATGCCAGCAGAAGCCCTGTACCTGCATGAGAGGCTCCATTGGGCTGGAAGAACTGCTTGAGCGACCTTGCGTCTTAGAAATCATGGCGTATCCTCAGGAGAACTTTCAGTGTCTTGTAATAACTAATTATAATGCCGATTAGGGCTCCATTGTAGTCTACTTTGTTAATGAAAATGATAAAAGTTAAGAAAATGATAAACCAGAACACTTTGGGGATTTTGTCTCCTTTGGAACTGTGCTGCATCTGGTACAACAAGCTGTGGAAGCATGTTGAGGATGTTTCCTTTAGGGCCTGGGAGATGTAAATTCCTAGAGCAGTTTACCAACTATATGTGAAACAGGAAGCGGGTCCCATGGATGACACTCACAGGACTACCCTAGACTCTTGGAAGTGATTGTTACTAACATCACAGGCTTGACGTGTTAACATCACAGGCATGACACCAAACCATGTAGAGATGCACAAACAGTTGAACTTAGAAGTAGCAGTATTGGCTTTATGTAATAAAGGAAGCATTTGTAACTTAATCTCTTGTGTATTATTTGTTTGTGAACTGCGAGTAAAGGATTTGCCTTCCCTATGGGTGAGTCCATCAGATTTAGCTTTACTGATCTAATAGGATTAGGATCATAGCTCACTCTTCTGCCCCAATGAGAATGTTTCTGTAAACATTGGGCATCCTTTTTCTATCCCAAATGTCTGTCTGAAGACCAGGCTTAGGGAGGTGAAACAGTAAGTTGTGCTTTCATCAGACTCTTTCAAAGTTGTCCAGAGGGGCTGGAGAGATGGCTCAGCAGTTAAGAGTGTTCTTGCAGAGGACCCAGGTTCGATTCCCAGCACCCACATGGTGGCTAATAACCGTTTATAACTCTAGTTCCAGGGGACCTGACACCCTCTTCTGACCTCTGAGGGCATTCATTGCATGACACAGGTGCACCTACCTACATGCAAACAATACACCCATACACATTAAAAAAAGTCCAGAAAAAGTATGCTGGCTGCTTGCCATTCTTCAACCTGAATTTGTTTTCTCTATGCAAAACACAGCTTTTAGTGACCACAGCAACAGGCCCTGTGTAGTCAAGAACCAACCCTGTAGGTGGGCCAGGTTTTGTCCAGGGTCTTTTAGGACAGCTTCAACTTGTGTGTGGCTGCCCTGCCATCACCACAGCTGTGCTTCAGAAGTTCAGGCGGTGTAGGAGTCATCTGTGCCATGAGATGGGTTTTAAGCAGTTTGTGAATGCGTATCTCCCAGTGCTCCACTCTTATTCCAGGAATGGGGACAGTGTGATGGTTCCTGGAGCCTGTTTATCTTTTGTTGGTGTCCTTTGGGAAGTCTTACTGGATACCTGAGGTTTGGGCCACCAGTTGTGCTAACAAGTACTCCTTCAAGTGGGTCTACTGCAGTTTAGGTTTATGTGTCAGCTGGCATTGATAAGGAACAAAACTGGCAAGTATAATTTGCTTATAGAGGACAGATTCAAACTCAAAAGGATTAACATACTATAAAAAATGTGTATGTGGAAAGCAGACTTGGGGCTCATTCTAGTGGGTACTTTTGGTTCCTGAGAAAGGCACATATTAGGCCAATACCAGCAGAATTCTGTCAGAACTGTCTGAGGTTTGCTACCTCAAAGAATTATTAAAATCTGGGAAAACATGACTTGTACAGTATAGTCAAGGCTGTCTCAAGCCTTACTATAGGCTCCCTGGGTCTGGACATAGAAGGTACTGCTGCTGTTTCTTGACAGGCTCACCCCACTGTGGACCACTGGAGAGTGAATCTGCTAAAGATTCCTTTGTGATTTGGAGCATTTTTGAAGTAAATTCTAGAACCTGGGTTGGTTGGATCTTAGGCTGCCACCAGAAGCAACACCCAGTGCACGATGGGCATGATCCAGAGGAGCCAGGGATCAAGGGAAGGGAGGCTTCAGTCACTCAAGCTGCACAGCAGCCAGCAGAGGTCAAGTAGCTTACCTCTAAGGCTACTTGATTCGTAAGTGGCAGAACTGATCAGAAATTCTGGTGTCATGGTTTCTGGGCCTAGCTATCCCTGCCACTCCTGTGGAGAGTTCCAGTTTGATTTGAACACTTGGAATTTAAAGGTTAGGTTTTACAATGGAATGTGAAAGGGGCAGTATATTCTTTTAGGTCCTGAACTCAGACCCAAACCTGAAGAAAGCTCAATGAGAACGCTTATGTGGCATGCTGCTAGAACTGTCTGAAAGCCTCACCTTTACCTCCTGCCCATCACCATCACTGGTGCTCCTGCTATCCCTGTCCTTGCTGCACTGCTTCCTTGTCCACGTTCTGTGCAGGCTGCCTATGGGGCCATACATTTTGATGTCATACACCCATGCTCAGAGCAGGAGACTTCTCAGAACAGTGGTCTGGATGGTAGGGCTTCCAGCTCAGCTGATGCTAAGGACCACTGGAGTGTCAGGGGATCTCTTGGGGTCTTCTGAAGGGAAATGTTGAGGCAGCTCTGGCATTGCAAAGTACAGCAGCCCCAGGCAAACCCAGGCTTGGGGAAGAATAGCCCTTCCATTCCTGCCTCAGCCATCTGTTTCATCTCAAGTGACTGAAAGCCAGCATTGCCTGAATGAATCTGCATACATTTGCAGTTTTGGTAGACAGTAAGTTTTGACTAGCTAGGCTCTTGGGTTTACCATGAAGAGGGTGGTGGTGGTGGCAGCCCTTGTTGGCCTCTTCAGTGTCTGCCAAAGGCAGTGTCTTTCTGAGCAGCTTTCCTCTGCCCCATGGATGTAATCTTTAGAAACAGCTGGGTGACCCCAAACTGCAGGAAGCAGCTAACCCGAAATGCCCAGGCCAGCCCCTGCACTATTTGTCATCTTGCCTCTTTTCTCAAAGGGTAGACAAGGCTCCCATAAAGGCTTGAGGATACTAGGGCTATTGGTAGGTGCAGTGGTCTCCTGTCTGAAAAATGACCACCGGCCCAGTCCCCATCCCATTCCTGTGTCTTCAGAGGTTATCCACCTAGCATAGGGGCTATTAGTTCTAGGTCTACAGTGACAATTTAGTGGTACAGGGCAGATTTTGCTATTCCCCATCTACTCACCAGGGTCTCAAGCCATTGAGTTTGTGTAAAGCTAACAATTTGTAGGATTCTCTCTCCCTAATCCTCCCCTGCCCTCCATCCAGAACCTGTCTTCAGCTCTGAGCCTTCTGTTGGACATGCACAGGAAGCAGGTGATTTTAAGTTGCTAAATTCCTGGGGCTCAGCAGTGGCTACTCCAGGTTTACGACCTTAATAAAACAAGCTCTTCCCCCAGCATTAACCTATCCAGGCTACATGAAGTTTATTTTCGTGGGGTTCAGTTCACCTCATGGATGACAAGAGTTCCTGTGAGCCAGGCAGAGCTGGGTTCGTGACTGCATCATGTATTCCTTTCTTCCCATTGCCCCTTCACTCAGTCTCTCGGTCAAAACCACAGGGCCAGCGTCTCGAGAGCTGTGGGCTCCCTCTTCCCCAAAGCCTCTTTGAAGGTTCTACAGTAAGTATGATTGTGATTGCTTCTCTCACCTTGCTTAAAAATCTGAATGGCTCCTTCTGCCTTTCCCTGCCCTGGTGAGCCGAGTGACCTTAATACCTTCTCAGCCTCACCTCTTCCCCACATTTCTTTCCTCCTCTGCAACCGCTGTCCCCCAGCACTCTTTGGATCCCCACTATCAGCACTTTCTCCAGAGTGCGCACTGGATTTCCAGCCCTTTGTTCCATTAACACAGAAGTGTCATGTGGCTAGCAGCTCAGTGTTTCCTAAGTCAAGGCCAGGCTTGGCCATGTGGTCTCAGGTATAGTGCCCAGACCTTGGCAAATGGTATGGGGTGGGAAGAGGGGACAAGAGGACATAAGCACAGTGATGTTTCTTAAGTTTCCTTTGACAGCTACCCAGGAGTACCACCCACCATACTAAGGTGTCATGGGATACAAATCCCAGAGCAATGTGGGAACCCCATCCTCTAGTCACACCCTTGTTCAGTACTCCATGGGCCAGCAGCTCCCCAGCCAAGTTCAGCCAGCCAGCCTCTGAGGATCTGGAGGCTGACAGGCACCAGAATAGGAGATGCTTAGACCCTCCTTTCCTTCCTAGTGGCTCATACCCCACTGTGCCAACTTTTGTTTTTTGAGACAGTCTCCCAGTATCTATACCTGGACTAGAACTCACTGGGTAGACCAGGCAGGGCTTGATCTCACAGAGATCGGCCTGCCTCTGCCTCTGACGTGCTGGGACTAAAGGCATGTGTCACTATGAGGCTTGTGACAATTTTTTTTGCATAAGCTCCAGGTTTCCCTGGACCGAGTTATTGCAGACCAAGGGCTCCAGCCCTGAGGTCACAGGAAGTCTAGAATGGCTTCTGCCTGAGGTTAAGTGGTGGCTACACCACCCTGAGAACCCCTCCTGAGCCCCAGCTGGGACAGAGCTCCCATCTCATCCCTGCCTGGTAAGCAATGGAGCAACACTGGAGAGGGGTCAGGCAGGAAGCAGGAGGCTTCACTTAACTCTGCAGAGGTGCAGGGGCCCTACTTTCAAAGAAACCCACATGTGTGTCTGTCTCAGGGGACAGCCCCCCTCTGGTTCTTCCTCCAGGGCCCAGCAGCCAGATGGGGAAGTCCCAGAAGACTAGACGAGACTGCAGTGCCGGGAAACACGTTGGTTTTAATGGCATCAACATCCAGGCAGTCACATGTCAGTTCTGTTTAGCAACTTCCAGGGGTTGAGCGGCTGCAGCTTTGCTGGGCTGGGCTGGCCTGTGGCCCTCCAGTCTGCTCAGCAGCCTCTGAGAACTCACCACCTGGTCTGCTGCTTCCCAACCTGGCCCCACTGAGAAATACAGACAATTGCATTGATTGACATAGATCCTGAGCGTCCTGGCCTCCCAGCACACCCTGGTCTGTCAGTGTTGATGAGGGCTTTGGCGTCTGCTCGAGGTGGTCCAGGGCCGCTCCTGGGAATAGTGTTTATCAAATGTGACAAAGGTTCTTTTACAGACTGGGGGTCTGGAAGATTTAATTCTCTGGTTCTAAGAGACTTGTCTCCAATGGCGTCTTTCAGAGCTACTGGAAGTTGGGCCTGGATAACGCTGTGTTGGTTGGTTTATTTGTAAGGAATGTGTAAGGCATTTTGGTAAGTTGAACGGTTTGCAGAGGAGACTCAGACGGAGGTGCCCTCTTTTGAGCTGCTGCCATCCTCCTGTGAACAAAGTAGACGTGTGAAGGAAAGGCCAGGCAAGGAGCCAAGGCTCAACCACTTGTGCCATGCCCAGAACCTGCAAAGCACTCCCTCAGCCCTACAGGCACTTCAGAGAAAGCAGACCCATCAGCCTGGAGACCCACAGCTGACTCCAGAGGCTGGAGGATGCAGGGTTAGGGATTGGTGGGATCCTATGACTATGACGCAGAGCAATGTGAAGCACTGAGTGTGGCTAAGAACCTATGGTTCTACAGGCAAGGGACTGGGGCCAGGGTGAGGGGCCCACACAGACTGAGACTGAGGATGAGCCAGCAGTGAGCGTATTAGCTCCCAGACTGCCAAGAGGAACCTTAATTCACTGGGTGCTAGACCCTGTGGGCTGATACTCTGTCCCTAACGTCCTGCTTTCTTGGGGCTCCTAAGCACCTTGCCCAGCTTTCCCGCTAGCTGTGACTTCTGCCCCACCTACTGAGGGACAGAGTCAATCTCAACCATGGACCAAGTAATTGGCAGCCTGGCTAGCCTTGCAGTCTAGCCTACACTAAAGTACTCACTGTTTTTTCTAGCTGTTCTCGTAATTTGTTCACTGTGTCCTTCTCTTTTGCCAGCTGATCCTGGGCTGTCTTCAAAAGCTCCTGAAGTTTGGTGGCAGCATGTGCCAGGTCACTTGTTAACCTCTTTTCTTTTTCTAGTCTTTCCTGTGGGTCAAAGGGTTGAAGATGGTCAATCCTCATGTGATAATAGGAGCAAGAGCCCCTAGCTATGCCCATGGGGCCCAATCCCTGGAGATTAGAGCCCTCTGTGGGCACAAGGAAGACATCCGCTCACAGAAAGAAGCCTAGGCAGTGCTGGCTGGGAGAAAGAGCCTGTGCTGACAGTCCTGCCTGTGTCCTGTTGCCTTCCGGTGCTGTTAGGACAGCTTCCTGACCTGGGCCCATGGCAATGGCTTACTCTGTACTGCCCAGTGTGGAGGCTACCTACATTCAATAGAGCATTTTTTTAAAAACCAGACCTTATATTTAAATAATTAACACTGATTTGAACCTGTGATGTAACTTAGTGCTATCAGTGTGTCTTCCCACAGTGTGTGACAAGGGAAGCCAATGCCTGGGCTGGGCTCTGTTTTCCCTTAACTGGCCCCACCACTCCAAGGCCAGGAGTGTCCACAGCTTTGTAGCAGTCCAACCCCTACTCCTGCTCCATTCTCTACCTTCAGCTGTGCAGCCTCCTCTGTTCCTGAAGACTCCAGTGGGCCAGCAGCACGGAGCTTCTCCAATTCCTCTTGTAACCGACACGCTGTGCTCTGAGCCTTGTCAGAGAGGGGACAGGTCTTGAGTGAGAGGCCCAGCACTGAGGGTCCAGGGGCCTCCCCAGCCTAATAGGACAGCAGCTGACATCAAAGCAGGCTAGACCCACATGAGCAAGGAGCCTGGAGATAGTCCATGAGCATCTAGCCCCTCAGGAACTTTCCAAAGGACATGGATACCCATGTAGCTCTTGGGGCAGCCTCAGCACCACTGCTTACCTGCTGGTGCCCCACAGCTCCCCAACCAAAGTGCCTGGTGGGAAAGCTGGGGAGGGGCAAGGATGGCTTTGCCACCTTGTCACCCCCAAGCTGAGAGCAGGTAAGGGTTGAGGGCCACCAGGCGCAGGGCCTCACCTCCTCAAACTCAGCTGTGAGTTTTTGCCGTTGTGTCTGCTCATCTTCCAGGATGGCTTCTGTCCGCTCCAGCTGTGTTTTTAGCTATGTGGAGATACAAGTGTGACTGGAGAGTCTGGCACAGGACCCTCTGAGGGGCAGACTAAAGCTGGAGGCTCTGCCTTCTAACTGCTCCCTGCCCTGGGAAGTCATTCCCGGCACTCCCTCCTCTAGGGAGATGGTGCGCCAGCACCAAGAGAAAAGCAGGGAGGTAAAAAGATGCTGAGGGCAGAATTACAACCTCAGGAACCTCTAACAGAACCTACAAGGTGGAAAGACACTCCAGAGCCACGAGGCAAGCCTACAATAGGGACCTTGGTGTCAGGCCCCTACCTCCTGGCAATTGCTCTTGGTAGATGTTCCTTTGGTCAAAATTCTCAGCAGCTGATGTCCTGCTTAGCAATGCCAAGCAAGGACCACAACTAGAGGCAAGTACCCTTCTGTAGCTACAAACCCAACCCCAAGCTACAGGCCTGTCCAGGAGTCCCTCCCCTGTGTTGCAAGGGCCCCTAGCCGCCCTGACTGGACACCTGCTCTTTGCTCCATACCCTTCTCACACTTGAGATGCTCCTCATCCTGAGGAAGCAGGATGGAGAGGGTAACTAGTGAGTGGGGACTGGGAGCAGCTGTACCCAGTTTAGTCAGCATAGAGCTTTTCCTCCCTGCACACCATAGGAAGTTTGGGACACAGCTGAGGACCACCTCATCACCCTAACCTTCACAGGGTCCTGTTCGGCTGGAGGGACAGCTGGGGACCCAGCCATGTCACCATCCTCTACGTGGCTCTTCATGTCACTCAACTGCTGCCTGACCTGAAACAGGGAGGGTGGGTTTGCGCAAATACATAGCCAGTGGCATGCACACCTCGAGCGCGGCGCGCACGCACGCACCCACACACGCGCACGCGCACACACACACACAGCGCCCGTGCTGGGCTCAGCGGGTGCTATGGATGCTAGGCCAACACACTAGACCTGGTTTCCTCAGAGGCAAAGCTGCACATGTTTATCCCAAATGTCCAAATTTCAAATGCTGACAACTAGTTCAAGGTTTTCGAAAAGAAGGTACAGAGTGACCTCTGTGAAGCAGGATGACCTCACCTGGCAAAGCAGTTGGGACATGGGATCAGACATGCAGTTGCAAACTGGTCAAGCCAAGTGGGACTATGAGGCTGCCTGCACAGTAGAACGCCTCATGTTTGTGAGCAGGGCTCATCCCTGTCCCCGTGCCTGGCAGTGGCCAGTGGGAGCAGGCTGTCTTGCATACCTATGAGTAAGACTGAAAGGATCTGAACTACCACTGAAGCCAGGAAGATCTGCAGAAGGCAGACCTGCTGAGAGCTCACGGGATGGATGGGCCCAAGCCTCCTAGTCTTGTGATGCCAGGGACCCTATGTCCCTGACTGCTCATAGGTGATAAAATGGGCTAGCAAGGAATGTATGCCCCTACAACGCTTTGACTTGAGCAGGGCTTAGGGCTAGACCACCCTGTCTCTGGCAGACACAAGTCTAGCTCAAAGATTTGGCTAAAGTGCAAAAGGCCCCAGGAAGCCTGCTCCACATGCTAAGGCATGGCATGCTCTTCTGCTTAGCTACAGAATCTTTGCATGGATGTCAAAACATGGCCAGCAAGTTCATTTTATACACATACCCCATGCCATGCTCCCTTGCCCAGGACTTATGTCGACCTACCAGGGCAAGCTCATTGCTCTGTTTCTGGGCTTCACTCTTGGCTGCATCCAGCTGAGACTGAGAGTCTAACAGAAGCTGCCTCAACTTCAGCAGAAAATAGCCAGGCAAAAGAAAAGAACAGAAAACCAATCCATGAGTCAGTACCTAAATCTGGGGGAACACATCCATTTACCCAAGCTTGGGAGATTTGCAGAATGGGATAGGCTACCTATAGTTACAATTTCCTTTAGGAAGACTTGGGAAGTATGGTGCATCCTGGCCTTCAGAAACATGTGCCCATCATTATATTATCTCTTGTTACAGAGCAAAAGCTGGAGATCAAGCCAGGACTCCAGGTGCCAGACTTGGGCATTTTGTTCCTGGAGTCAGACTGAAATCCAGTACCAGCTAGAAATGATACCAGCAAGCCAGGTAGAGAAGCCCCCTGCTCAGGGGCCATCTAGACCTTAACAAGTCACTTTCATGAGGCAGGCTTTGCCCCTAGGGCTGCCTTTCTGAAACTTGTCCCCATACACATCTCAGGACTGTCAGTTCAAAGAGGAATCAGAGCTTCAGGCAAGTCTGAAAACCTAGCTTTTAAGGATCCAGTTAACAAGGGCTACTCTCAAAGGGTAGAGGGGAACTGGGGATGACCTGGGCTCCATGGAGAGGTAGACTCACCCCTGCCACCTCTTTGGCATAGTTTTGACACTCCTGGCTGGCAGCTGCCATGTGCTTTTCCAGCTCTGCCTCCAGCAATGAGGTATGCTCCCTCACCTGGACAGAGATGGACATGCACACCCATCAGAGCTGCTTGGTGGTCAGCAAGGGCCCTAATCATAGCAAGTGAGAATGATGGGTACCAAGCCTGGCCTCTGGGGTATGTTAACTATGGGGTAAACTGAGGCCAGTAAGAAAGCAATCCCTGGCAAAAGAGCCCCTTACTGAAAATGGAACCCAAATTCTAGGCCTCTTGGGTCCTAGCATGTTCTCAGGCTTCAGGAGTAGTGGAGAGAACAGTTCTTAGATATACTGGCAAAGCTTGGTACAAAGGGCACTTTTTGCCAAGGCCAAGGCTTACTGCAGTATCTTAAAGAACAGCAGGCCTCCTTGAGCATGTTCCTTTAAAGGCCGTAAGCAAAAAGGCACTGCTGGCCAGGACTACAGAGCACATGATTCTCAGACTGCTAAGGACAAACAGGACAAGAGCCCCAACTTGAGAGGAGAGTCTCCTCAGACGTGTATTTCATATGGAAAACAAGGGCCTCTGTAATCTTTGTATGGATGTCAAAACACAAAACGCGATCAGTAAATTCATAGGACAAGATAAAGCAGCTCTCAGAGATCCACATACCTGATCTGAGCTTTCAAGTTCTCCTTTTAGCTTTTCCACAATGTCTTCGAGATGTTTCACTGTAACCCGTGACTACAAAGCAAGGGGAAGGCCCCACACGTCATAAGGATCTGAGAGAACTCTCAGACCAGCCCCAGCTCAGGGGCCCGACCCATGCTGTGCTACCAAGCCTTAGGGACGTGTGTTGGCCAGCTACCTTGTGCAGCTCCTCTTCGGCAGCGCCCACCTTGGCCTTCCACACACGCTCCTCCTCCTCCACGCTCTTCTGCAGGTCTTTGAGCATGCCCTCCTGGGTGGGGGGAAGGAGACAGGGACGACACACAGATACTGAGGCAGGTCCTCTCTTTCCTTAGCCTGCCCCACAAACATACACTGCATCTTCCTGCCCCTGTGCAGCTCTTCAGGGACTGGCCGGCACCTGCCCTGCTGACTGCTGGTCTAGGCAATGAGGTCTATGAACCCCAATGAGGTTGCAAGGGCTCTTGTCATTACTAGATTTTACCTTGATGCTGACCTCGCTGGTGTTCCAAAACAAGGAGACAGGACTGGTCAGAAAGTTGGAATGGCTGGAGCTGGCACTATTCTTTGCATCAGAGGGCTCAATCCCAAGTCACCCCAAGCCTACCTTATCCTTCCCCACACTGCCTGCCCAGTCATTCCTTGTAACTGTCTCACCAGCCCCAAACCCTGAACTTGCCCTTCTCTCCAACTGGGAACAAAGACCCAAGAGCTTTGTCCATTCCTTTCACCATCAAGCCAAAGAAATGATGCCCAGAGAGGGCAAGCGGGCCACTTGAAGTCACAATGAGCCATGCCATCTCCTGTCCCACACACCCCAGCAACAGCCATCATCAAGGCTGTCCTTGCTCACCGTCTCTGCCAGGATGGTGCGGTACTGGTCACACTCAGCCTGCAGGGTGGTCTGGGTCTCCTCAGCCTCCCTCAACTTGGAGACTATATCCTGAGGACAGAGGAATGAACAGGTGTCTGTTTACTCCTTTCTCTCAGCTACCCACTGAAAAGACTGGGCGCCAATTCCCAAGGACAGGAGGGCTTAGGCACTAAGGACCTATGCTCAGAAGCCTCACTTACCAAGGAAGGCTCTAGGGAAGCAGGTGGCTTCTTCAGCAGCTCAGAGCCCTTCTCTTTGACTTCCTGTAGCCACTCAGCATAATTCTGCAAGGAAATAGGTATGGTAGGGCCAGGATGTTCCCTGGCAATAGTGGGGAACCTGGAGCTACCCTCTTCTTTCTTACCTGGTGTGCTGAGATGGAGAGCCCTGGGAACAGAGCCAACAGAGCCTCCTTGGTCTGGGCCTCAGTCAGACGGAGTTGTTTCTCTGATTCCTCCTGGAGGGGCAGGAGAGAGGAGGGCAGCACTGAGCCTCTGCCCCCAGAAAGTCCCGTCCTAGCTCTACATGGGAGGGACAAGACGCAGAAGAGAGGCTGGGCTGTTTGGTCTGTGCAGTATGGATCCTGAGCAGACATAGCTATCAAAGGGCAGGACCACAGTTGCCCCGTGCCTCCCAGCAGACACTCAGGTTTCAAAAGTGCTTCCCTGTAGGAATGGACATGGATGTGTAGGGGCCAAGCTAATGTATGCAACGAAGGCAAGGACGAGAACACTGGAGGCTGCATGGCATGATGACAGCTGGGAACTGTGAAGATGCAGTAGCAGAGCAGCCCCTGTGGCCACTAGGGTTAGGGCTAGTGGGAGACAGGAACAGAGGCTGGAGGGGCTCATCTCCAGTTACCCTGGAGGAAAAGGAGGTTAAAGTCCCACTAGGCAGGGCTAAACCAACTCAGAGAACATAAGGAACATGAACAAAGTTTGACTCGCGTTGTGCTGAGCCAGTCAGCCCCCACTGGCCTCCAGAAGGAGCAAGCAGCAAACAGGGTGAGGAGGTCCACCTGCCTCACCCTTCCAAGTACTGGAGTTACAGGCATGCTATACACCATGCCAGGATTCAGAAACCTGATCTTAAAATACAAGATCATGACAAAGGGAAAAAAGCATGACAAAGGAAAAAAAGCCAGAAGAACTGAAAGGGCCATGAGACAAAGCCCAGGACTGCAGCATCCCCTGTTGACATAACTGTGGGGTGGATGCATAAACAAAGTTTCATCTAAACCTGAGACATTTAAGTAAGACACACTCTACCAGCAGCCCCATGCCATTGGGCATGGCTTGCGACCTGGGGTAGCATAGGGAGCTCTGGCTGACTTGGAGCTGATGGAGGGAGAGGGTATCTGGAGAGTTCACGAATCTGGCACGCCAGATACTCAGCCTCACAACAGGGCTCAGGAGTAGACTCAGAGCTGACAATGCCCTTTTTTGGCTCAGCCAGTTACAAGCAAGGTCTCTAATCTTACGCCAGACCACTTGATCCTGACAGATGAAGGCAAGCCACCTGAGATGTGAGGCTATCCTCTATCTCTATCTGCCTGTGTGGCCACAAACAAGTCAAGCGACAGCTCAGGTAGCAACTTCTACATTTGCCACAAGCTGGCCAGATGGTCTCAGGTCATTTCTAGGGCCCAAAGTTCAAGAATCCAGGAATCTGATTATAGCTCTAAAGGTGTGGCCAAAGGCTGCTCTTCCCTCTAACCCTTCCCAGGTCCCTCATCAGATACCGTCAGACCTCCTGGGAGGACCACGGGTCACTATAAAGCTCACACTAAGGGGACAGACATTTTCTCTGTGTGAGTGATGCTAGGAAGACACCTAGAAATGTATGATGGAACTGAGGTGGGCAGGGGCTTTAGCTGCCACTGCTACAGGCTATGTCCCTGAGTCAGAGACATCATGCTGCTCCTGGACAGTCCAGGGTCCTACAGGACTTTACTCCCCAAGTGCTCACTGTTAAAATGGTTTCCTCTGAGACGCATCATAAAAATCACACATGATTTCAGAGGGTCCAAGAAACAGGCAGGAGTATTTCAAATAGCCCAAGATAAAAATAGCTCAAAGTCCATGAAGCTGGCACAACCCTGAGCTTGCTCAGAGTCTATACCAGAAGAAAGGCAATCAAGAGTATGCATTTCTTTCCTCCATGAAAAGGGGGGCGGGGGGAGCGTGACGATGACTACAACATGGGACCTTAGAAGATACTGAGTTAGATATAGGAGATGCTCTGAAGTCAAGCCTAACCTGTCCAGTTTGTGTGTTTCATGGGGTTTGCTGAACCAGCAGGTGCTGCTGATCCAGCCTTGACCTGACTAGCCAAGTCTGAGGATAGGCAGGGCTCTCACCTTGGTCTGGGTCAGGAAGTGCAGCTTTTCCTCGCAGGTCCTCTCAGCTAAGGCCAAGGCCTCCATGGCCTTCCAATTCTTCTCTCGTAGGTCCTAGGTGGGGAGCCAGAGAAAGTCAGCAGCCCCCAACTACGTCAATCATAGTCACTAGCTCCACAGGCTGCTTCAAGCTGGTCTCAGCAAAGGCAGGGCCCACAGAAACTCCCTCAGCCCAGACCAGGGCACTTTACAGAGCCTGCCAGGGATAAACTGTCCTCTCCTTGACCTATGTGCATGTGGCCTCTCCTGGGAAGCACTCACCACAAGGCCCAGGTTTGTGGCCCAATGTGGTAGTGGTCAAGGCACAGTGTGACGAGGTGGGCACCCTTTCAGGAACAACTGGTCTGAGAAAGAGGGAGGGCTAGACTGTAACTTTAGAGGGAAGAAGTTCTTGCCCGTAAACACAAAGTGCAGCACTGGTAGAGCTCTGGCCCTGGGCCTCCCTTGGGAAAATTCAATCTCTGTGTGGGGAGCAGCCTGGGCAACCAGCATGCCCTGGCTCTGTACAGGGCAGGTATAGGCACAGGAGATATGGCCAAGGTCCCACAGCCTCAGTAGAGAGGTACAGTGGCATGTCACCTATCCAGCTTCTCCATGTCCTTCTGGCACCAGCCTCCCTACCCTGACCTGCTCAGGGGGACCATATGCTCTGGGCCAGGCCAATTCGCATGACGAATCCCCATTCCGGGTATGGCTCCATGCTCAGGTATATAACACAAGTTGACCCAAGGGCAGTCTGCCCTGTGACAGCTGGTGGACTGCACGAGAGTGAAGAGGTCAGAGAGGTGCAATGCATAGATTGTGAACCCTCAGAGCAAACGAATACTTGGAAGAGAGGTGGAAGCAAGGCCAGGGCCTTGCCTTGAGATCTGGGGTGGGCTACACAGCAATGTCTTCAGGCAGTTTTGAGAGGACATTGCCCATAGCCTCCTCTCTGCCCCCTCTCTCCTGCCCAAGCTCAGGCACCCTCTACTCACATTGTTCTTCCCTTTCTGCTGCTCCATGGCCTCCTTGAGCTCACTGGTTTCCTTTTCCAGACATGACACTTGTGACTCCAGCTCCTTTAGGCTGCAGGGACACAGTGAGGTCACTGTCTTAGCTCCAAGGATCCACATCTCTGCCCAGGCACCTGGCCCAGCCTGAGGCCCCTCCTACCTGCCCAGGCACAAGTTTTCAGGGAAGCCTACCCAGTTGCTTAGCCCCCTACTCTACTCATCCAGTGTGCCAGGAAGTTTCTAAGACATTCTTTCTTTTAGCCTGAGTCCGGCCCTGGCATCACGTAACATGTTAGCAAGCAGGTCCTTCCCCATGGCCCATATCTTGGCCCTCAGAAGTGAGATAAAGACTCATGGCCATTCTGTCACTTTACTCACTGGGCACCACTGCTCTCAGCAGCTCTCAAGAGATCACTGACTTTTAATCTTCTGAGACCCACAGGCTCCTCCTCTTCAGTTCTGGGCCCTGGGATTTGAGGAATCAGCTAAAGACAAGCCCCGGACATTGTGGGATGGGTAAGATGTCAGTCCCCATCTTTCCAGGACTTCTTTACAGATGCAGACCTGCTGAGCTTCATCCTCCATCATCCAGAAATGAAAGGCTCATGCTGCTGCAAAGCTATACTCAAGGCTCTTAGAAAGCAGCCTCAAATGGAGACCTTAAAGTGACACCTTCTGTATTAAGATGCAGAACAAATGGCAAGACCCAGGGACCTGCCAAACCTGAAGTCCAGATATGGTCAATGGCAGCCTGAATCAGCACCTTGAGCCACTCTGAAACACAAGGGGAAGCCTGGCAAAGGGGAACTGTCACCAACTTGGGAAGCAGGCTGCCACTGCCAGCCAAAGAGTAACATATATACACAGGTCTCTTCTGGGAGGCCATGGGTCAAAGGCTTTTTGAAAACCACCACTCTAATAACAATAAACATAAAGTCAGCATGTGCCAAGCAAGTGGCCATCCTGACCACCTTACCTGATAATAGACTCTACCTAGCACAGCTTCGTATTTTCAAACTGAACAGTGTACCTGGCCTTGAAAAGTTGACTTTGTGACTATTAGTTTCAGGCCCATAGAACATTAACTCCGCTCTCAAAGCTCTGCTGCGATCCTTCAGACACTCCCTCAAACCCCTGCATTATACAAGAGTCTTCTGGCAAAATGCCCCAGGAGCATGCTCAGAAGAACAAGATCCTGAAGAGGCAGAGTTTGCAGTCAGTGGCAAGGACACACTGGCCATCACCCCTGGCAGTTGCGGCCAAGTTCCAGGACATCTGGGGTTGATACTCCTCTCTAGTGGAGAACAGGATGGCCCACCCCAAGCAACTTACAGATAAGCTGTTTCAGAAGGAAATCAATCAGTTTCTGTTGGACATACCCACACGATGCAAAACATTTAAAAATCTTATTTCGAGCCAGGCGTGGTGGCACATGTCTTTAATCCCAGCACTTGGGAGGCAGAGGCAGGCGGATCTCTGTGAGTTCAAGGCCAGCCTGGTCTACATAGTGAGTTCCAGGACAGCTGAAGCTACAGGGAGACCCTGTCTCAAAAACACCAAAAAATAAAAATAAAAAATAAAAAATCTTACTTCGAATGTGACTTCATTATCCTAGTAATTCACTGTGTGATACAAAAATTTGAGGTGCTTCATTCTGAGACAATGTCTTGTAGCAAAGGCTGGTAGTGAGCTTGTGGTCCACCTACCTCACCCTTCCAAGTATTGGGATTACAGGCATGCGATACCATGCCAGGATTCAGAAATCTGATCTTCAAACACAAGAGCAAAAACTTAATGAATATAATTTCTCTATCCTGATAAATACCACCAGGAGAAACAAGGTTCACCCATGCATTCTGAGAAGGCAGGCAGGGAGGGTTGGGTTCTGACTTTTTAAGTGGGCTGTTGATTTCCTTCTTATGTGCTCAAACTAGAGCCCAGTGGATACTAGGGGACACGGTCTGTGGCCAAGGGAGTTGCATCTGCTTCGAAGCACATGGGGAGACAATTCTATGGCAGCAACAGCCAGAATAAGGGATCCTGTTGGCTGACAGCCTAGGACCCATCGAGAATGTGCAAGGAGATGAAGGCCATCCTCCACTCCGCTCTTCCACATGGCTGCTCCAGGGTCCCAAACCTGTAGGCATCTGCCCTAAAGGTATGTGATCATAAGGCCTTGACTTGAGCTGACCTACCCAGGTACTCTGGTCTTACAACAGCAAGCAAACAGTCCCTGAGCCCAGCCTAGCATGGGCTGCTGACACTAAGGGAAAATAAGGTCTGGCCAGCAATGAAGTCACTTCAAGACAAAGAAAAAAAGACCTGTGATGTGGTGAGCTCTAAACTGTTCCAATGCTCTCTTAACCTGTGATCCGAATAGAAAGGGTAGACCATGTCCATTTCCTCCTTTGATTTTCCGACTTCAGTCACTAAAATCCCTTGAACCTTGCTGACAAAGAAAACCTCTAAATCAGCCAGTCTTGCCACTAAAGCAGATCTTTCCCCCTGCTGAGGCATGTTCTACCCTCTCCAAAATGAGTTTGGTCCTTGAGAGTGTCACCAGAGCTCCCTCTCAGAGTTTCAATGTGGTTTGTCCCCAGGGGCTCATGCTTCGGAAGCCTAGTCCCCAGTGTGATAGTATTAAGAAGTAGTGAGATCGTTAAGAGGTAGGGCCTATTGGGAGGTAGGGGGTATTGCCTTAAAGAGATTGATATTGGTTTCTCAGAGTGCACTGATTCCTGTGAGAACAAGTTGTTGTAAAAGAATAAACCTGGCCTGTGGCTTTCTGTCTCACCATGAGAGTTCTTACATGTTCTCCTGCTATGATGCCATCCACCAGATTAGACAGCCAAGAAGGCCCCTCACCAGAGCCAAACACATGAGACTGTCTGACCTTGGACTTTCTGCCTTCAAAACTGTGAGCTAAGTAAGCCGCTTTTCTTTATAGAGTGCCCAACCTCATACATTTTGCTATAACTATGGAAAACAGACTAATACAAAACTCTTGCAAGGCTGCTTTGTTTCCCATCAGGTGTCAGCCATCCTCCAGGTTACTGGAGAAAAAGGTAGGAAGGGGTGTCTTTAAAATGGGCTCTTCCCCCAAGAAATCCAAGCACCCTACTGAAAGTCCCAGCTCCCAGGAGCTAATAGCCAACTTGGGCTAAGGCAAGGGAGCAGGAGCCCTGAAGCTCTTACAGCCCTCTCCTTGCCAGCTTACCGGGTCTGCTGCTGGTCGGCCTCAGCTTGACTGGCCTGAAATAAAACACAGAAAGCTCCTTGGTCTCCACGTGGCTCACAAAACAGCAGCTGGGCAAGGTGGGAGGCCCTTTGTTCAGTGGAGTCCTCCCTCCCCTCAGGTTGGCCCAGGAAGGGGCTGACCTGGGTGTCTTGAGCCTGGCCTGCTTCCAGAAGGGTCTCAATAGAGCGGATCTTCTCTGTGAGCTGTGAGTTCTCTGCCCTGGCCTCCTTGAGCTGCCCCTGGAGACTATTCAGCTCCTCACACTTGGTCTTCACCTCCACCTCAGAGGATTGTAATTTGCTATGCAGCTCTGTTGCAGAAGGTCAAGGAGAAAGGTCAGGGGCTGGAAATACCAGGGTATGCACCCTGGCTATTGACCCCTCCTCCAGCACATACAAAACACCAATGGTTCCTGGAATCCCAGGCTGTTTGTTCTATGTGCTCCCAGGCCTTAAGACCCGTTTCTGATCAGTGGGGCTGCTGAAGAAAGGCATAGCCTGGCAATGGCATTTTTGAGGACCACTAGGATAAATGAACCACTGATGAGAAAATGATGACAATCCATAGCAGAGTTCAGCAAAAATTGCTGAAAATTCATTCTCTAGAAAACTCTAGCTGTGTCCTTCTTTGTGGGAGGCATCCTCCCTTCTTGAGTGATCTTATTAGTCCCGCAACCCAGTTGGTTCAAGTGCCTCTGACACTCACTCTCCCCTAGGCCTGAACTCAGGCTCAACCCTAGGCATTGCTTCCTGCTGCAAATGAAGTTGTAACAAGGCAAGAGAAATCCTGTATCCCAACCTCCGAGGTCTTCCCATCCTGGATGCTGTCTCATCTTGCCTCACCTCTCACTCATTGCTGAAGCATGGGGACTCTACACCCACCATGTGTCAAATCTGTCCCTTTTCATCAGCACCTCTGTGGTCACCAGGCCAAGTCCTGCCCTATTGCCTTGGCCTAGACAATGACAGGCACCTCATCACATCCCTGTTTCCTTGGAGCCACTGCTACCCCTAAGGCCCATTTTTTACCTTGGACCACAGTGTTGAGAAGCATAAGTAAATGAAACTGTGTCATTTCCCTGCCCCAAACCTTCCTGTCACATTTTGCCACTCACAGGAGGGTGACTAAGGCCCTGCTCCTCTATCCTATACCACCCAGCAGCCTTCTCATTCTCGTATACTTATTTACAAATTCAAGTTCATTGCTCTCTCTGGGCCTTGTACTGGCTGCCTCCCATGCAGGGCTGACCCCTTCCCTCATTCAAATCTAGTTTAAACATCACACTTTCTAACTCTTGTTCAGCCCTGGCAGGTTCCACCCTGTACCAGGTGGATAGGATAATCCTGCCCTACTGTGCTCTGGTTCCCACAGTGGACCAGGACAGTAGGCAGACTCCTCTGCGCTCTACTGGAATGAGCCACCAAGACTCTGTACTTACCTGCCATTCGCTGCTGCTGCTCCTGGGCCTTCTCGGCATCTGCCCGCAAGTTGGCCTGGCTGGTCTGTGCCCGGCACAGCTCCCGGGTGACCTCTTCGAGGCGCTTCTGGAGAGCGTCTTCACTCTCTTTGTGGGACACCTGGAGAGAAGCAGGGTGAGGAAGGCTGTGAGGAGGAGAGGAGCCCTGGCTCCTGTGATCTAGACAAAGCTCTTTCTATGGCTATGCTATCCTTTGGGGTCTCTGGCTAGTCTGTCAAGCAGCTTCAGGGCCAGCAAGATGGCTCAGCAGGAAAAGGCACTTGCCACCAAGCCTGATAATCTGACTTCAATCCCTGGGACCCACATGGTGGAAGAAAAGAACTGACTTCTCCAAGTTGTTCTCTGACTTCTACGTGCACACTGTGGCATATGCGTGACCCTCAACACAAAATAAAATAAAATTTAAAAAAGAAGAAACTTCATGTCCAAATGCTCTTGAATCTAGACAAATATCACTCCAGCCAGCACCCCTTCAATGAGAGGAGCAACCAGGGATCGATACTCATTTCCTTCTCCCTGCTTGAGTTTCAGTTTCCCGAACAGAAACTGAAGAAGCAGGCAGTTTGGGAGGCTCCCTACTGCAGCATGTGTCTATATACAAATGAGCAGGGCATACAGTTAAGGTCCCACATACAGCACCTCTAGGTTTTTCATTTAAAAGTTCAGCCACTTGAAGTGACAAGTGTTCAACCATGTTTGATCCATAAAATGGCAATTTTGCATTGTTCAGTCTGAATCTCATAGATGTTTCCACATCAATACAGAAAGGTCCACCTCGGCCTTGTTTAAAGTCACAGAGCTTTGATGTGCCTGATGTCCACTGTTTCCCACTGAGCAACAAGCAGGCCATTCTCATGTTTGGTGGTTTCAATCAATCCTCCCCGGACCATTTGTCAAGCATTCCCACACACTGGGCTCCTGGGGAGGAAGTGCTCATCAGGCCCTTTGAAGAACCTAATCCTGCAAAGGACCAGATCTCTGCAGAACTCAAGCTTGTCTGAGACACAGCTGGGCAGAGAGGCCAGTCAACAAATAACGCTGATTAACTAAAGTAAGGTTCCAAGTCATGCCTCAACCCCTTTAAGGAGCGGCCAGAATGAAAATGTCCTATTTCTTTCTCGTTTATGGCAGTGGCTGCACAGTGTGGAGCAAGGCCAACCGCTTTACTGAAATCCACTAAGTCAGAGCTGAGTCTAGATCTAGCACAGTGCTTACCAAGGATGTGCCCACCAGCTGCGGAAAAATATTTTCTGAACGGGAAAATTAGGCCTGGCTTAAGGGTAGGCAATGTTTTCTCTGCACTAAAATATGGCAGGGGGTCAGTTCAGCTCCAAATGTGAGGAACAAAAGAAAAGAATGCCAGTGCTCCTTACAGACAGACCTGCTTCTCTTCTGCCTCTCCACCATGGCAGGAGCCTGCTTCTCTACCAGTTCTAATATCCTCATAAGTTCTGTCACTACTGATAGGGACAGGGCAGAGACTTCGCCGGCTAACGCCACCAGCAACCTATCTCTCTGTGTTTCTCTTTTAAGAGGGAGAATCCAGTTTGGACTGCAGGAAGGCTGCATGTTTTCTACTTATGACCAACATTAATTAGAGTACTGTTTCAACAGCAAGCAATCACAGAAACGCTCTTGTCTGGAGAAATCAAAAACTTGGGAATTCTAATGGAAAGTACGTGCACACATCTTGGGACCTAAGGTAGCAATGGCAATTCTTTTAAGCTTGGAAGCCAGTCACATCAAATAATTTCAAAGGTCAGTTCTGTGTTAGGTAAGCTGGTTAGAGACTTCTATAAAACACTGCTGAGATTCTAAACTTTAATCCATCCACCAGGACAAGGAGCCAGCAAAAGGGCCATCAAAGGGCATTTTATACTTCCTTCCTATCAACCCTGAGAGATGGCTCCCAGGTCAGAGTTGGGGCCACCTCCTAATGCCTATACGCTGGGATCCCACCCAATAGGCCTTGCCTGCTCTGGTCCCTGAGGTGCTGACTTGCAGTGAAGGGGCTACAGGTGAAGGAAGACTAGAAAGAGGCCTTTTCTACAACCTAAACTGCAGTCTTGTGTGGCTCATCCCCACATCACACTGCAGGACAGGTGCTTCTGTCACACCCAGGTACAGAGGGGAAGCTAGACTCAATGGTGACTGTCTCAGGTCAGGTCAACCCATCCTGACACAAGCCATCAGGGGCATCAGAAGCCATCAGACCCACAGGTTGATGAAAGCTCTCTGGATATTGCCCAGCATGTTATGGGGACAACCTCCCTCTTTCTTAGAGACTTGGCATGCCCTTGAGAAAGCAACTTCCAGGCCACAGCATCTATAGCTCACTAGTCACTCCAGGGATGCAGCAGCACAGTGGGGACAAGCATGGGTGAACAAACACAGCTCCAGAGCTAGACTCAGAGGGCTAAGTCCTGCCTCTGCCATGTCCTAGCCATGTACACTTAGGGTAGTTGTTCAACCTTTGTTCCACAAGCTTCCTTGTGTAGGTAAACTGCAGACACCAAGAGGTAGGTATAACTCATAGGGTAGGTTACAATGACCATTAGCTGAGCTAATGTTTATAAAGTGCTTATAATGATACACAGCACATAGAACCACTGGATGCTAACTATTGCTCCTACTAACAAGACTAAAGTCAAGGGTTTAAGCTCCAAGTGCAGACTACATTTTCCAGCTGTCAGTACTTGCTGGAAAGGGATGAAAGAGTATGGCCATGCAAAAACCCTGGCCAGTCCCTCACTATGCAGTCAGGTTTGGTGGGCAGCAAACTGAGGTACCTGCTACCTTTACTCACCTGCAGCTGTAGGACCTGCTTCTCAAATGTGGCTGTCTTGGCTTCCAGAGCCTTCCGCTGTTGTTCCTCCTGCCGGGAGGCCTCTGACTTCTCCACCAGCTCCTTACTGACCTTAGTCAGCTCCTGCCGGAGCTTTGCCAACTCTGCATTCTGCCTGTAAGACAGTCACCAGCCACCACTAAAAAGTGGGACAGAGATTGGCAACCTGTGTCTCCCCTGGCACATCTACTCTTTTGTAATTGAGTATAGTAAGTCTTAGCGCCATTACCAAAGCATCTTTTCCATGTCAGCCATGTGGCTTTTGGTGTGGGTTTTATTATTTGCTTTGTTAACACAGTATGTAGACCAGAGAGAGCAAAAGGCAAATGTGCTCTGAAGTAACCCGTAAGAGCCCCTCCCAGACACCACTCAGCCAGAACAAAGGCAAGACATTCTTCTCCTGCCACAGGTGTAAGTGACCTCCTTTTGCTCCCTGCAATGCCTGGGCTTCAGCCCACAAAGTCTACATGTCTCACTTCACTTCAGACAGGACAACTGTCAGACCAGGGAGTGCCTCCTGAAGGCACTGATGGCACTTGTCCTGACTCCTTATTCTAGCAGATGACCCGAGAGGTCATTTGAAGCTGGAGCCCAAGGCACTTAGAAGACAGCACCTCCAATGCTACACTTCAAAGTGAGTCTCAAGAGGCTGTGGTGGCACATCCTAGGACTTGGGAGGTGGAGGCAGGTGGATCTCTCTATGAGACTGAGGCCAGTCTGATCTACATAGGGAGTCAGCTGTGGCTACAGGGAGACCCTGTCTCAAAAAACAAAACAAAAGCCCCAATAAAACAAACAAAAACCCCAACAAAACAAAAAACCAAAGTGGGTCTCAAGACATAAGAACATCTAGAATTTCAGGAAACTTGTTGAAAGGAAAAGATGATGGCTGGAAACCCTCCCTCCCAGTGTGAGACTATCCAAATGGCTAGCTCTGTCACTACCTGTTCAGGGAACACGTGAGACAAGCCAAGGAGACAGGCCAAAAGCAATCATCCTCCATAGGAAGGTAGCCCTGTGTACCCATGAAGCCCATATATGGCTACCACACCAACCCCATACCCAGAAAGACACTAGACTGCACCTGCCACAGCCTACAAGAGACCCTAGGGAACATGTCCCCACAGCTCTGTCACTACCTGTTCAGGGAACGCGTGAGACAAGCCAAGGAGACAGGCCAAAAGCAATCATCCTCCATAGGAAGGTAGCCCTGTGTACCCATGAAGCCCATATATGGCTACCACACCAACCCCATACCCAGAAAGACACTAGACTGCACCTGCCACAGCCTACAAGAGACCCTAGGGAACATGTCCCCACAGTATCTGTGTGGGACACTCAGCTTACTTGCTTTCCACCTGGCTGGTAGCCTGGTTCAAGGCATCCCTCAGGATAGAGTTCTCCTGCTGTAGGCGGGCCAGCTGCGTGTTGGGGCCATTCTCCAGCTGCTCCTGAAGAGTCCGGATCTGAAAAGTCACCACAAGCACATCAAGTGCTGATTAGCGATACAAAGAGAACTGACTCTGAACCAGGATCAGCAAGGTCACAGACCAGAGAGAATGTTCTGGAGGCTCCACCTGCTCCACAGGGACCCAAGTCAGGAGTATGCCATAACGCAAGGATCCTAAACACTGTACCACCATTCCAGTGTCAGGGGCTCAGAGTCAAGTATGGACCCCTTTCCCCATAACATACCTCTTCTCTCCTCACTGTTCTCTGCCTAGCACCTTAGACATAAACATGCACATCTGCCCGAGGTCACACAGGCGTACTATTCTGAGATAAAGCACATGGCCACAAGCCACAACTACCTCAAGAAGAGCTCATCTCTTGCCTTCTGAGCCTACACGACATCCTCTGATGAGTCAAGTACAGGTTTCAGAAGTGTCAGGCTCTAACGATGAGGACCAGTCTGGACAGGCAGCAGCGTGGTACTGGTCTCCAGCACCAGGCTGAAGGTGTGATGTTCAGTGAAGTCTCTTGTCTTATGAGATCTTCCCAATCACACATAGAGGCAGTGTAGGCAGTATCACTCCAGGCTCACCTAGAGACTGAAAACCTGATCCTTGGGTACCATCTGAGGTAAAACTCTTGCTAAAAAGTGTACTTTAAAATGTATTTTATATCTTCCTTTTTACTAACATCAAACACTTATAAAAATATCCAGCCAAACACAACAGCTGCTGACCCCTCTGACAACCTCAGGAGACTTCCTCAGCCCTAGCTCAGGCCTCACCCTCTGGGTCCCCACAACTCACCCTTTCCCTTTGCCTACCTTGCCCTGCAACTGTTGCACCTCCTTCACATGCTCCCGGTAGCTGGCCTGCATGCGAGCCTGCATAGCTTCAATCTCCTGCTCCTGGGCTTCCAGCTGCTTCTTCACCTTAGCTTCCCCAGCTGCAGCCTTGGCCTTTTCTGAGGCCATCTCCTGGGAGGAAATAGATGGGGGTGCTGATCAGACAGATGAAGGCAGGGTCAGATTATTTTCTTGAAAAGCATTCAAAGATGGTGCTCCTGGTTTTGTCTGTCTGGGCTAGAAAGTGAAGCTAGGTACTGCTACTAGTACCCAAAGCAGAAATGATTGTGTTGGCACCTTTTGGGATCTGGTCACTTTCTGGCATCACTCCCCAGGCTTTGTGAGACCCTGTGAGATATGAGCTTCCAAGGCCTGGAGAGTGTCCTGTGACTTGCCTCTAGATAGAAACTAGCAACTATACTCTGACCCAATACTTACCCCAGCAGAGCCACTGTACTTACCCTACCTCTGGCCTAATACTCAGGAGCACATTCTCTGGCTAGTGTCTGAAGGCCTCAGGTTCCTTAGCTACTGATCAGAGACCCCCATTTCCACCAGGCCTCATGTTCAGGCACTGGAGCAGGCACACAATAGGCTAGTCCAGAGTATGGCTTCGAGACATGATGACAAGGCCTGTGGTGTATGGAAGATGACAGCTAGAAAGGTTTTTCAGAAGGTTTTGATTTTCTAGTTCTGTAACTGGATCCTGGCCTAGATTCTTCAAAGTCACTCTGGGGCCCTGGACAGAAGGACCACAATGGAGCTCTCAGGGGTGGCCAAGCACATCAGCCCCTATAGCAGTACCTACACACTGGACATCAGCTCTGCCAGGACTTCCCACATGTGGGAGGCACAGACCCTGCAGACACGACATTCTCAGTGCATCCAGGTCAGGCCTTTGGTATGGCCCCAGGAGAGACCTAAATAAGACCTCTTTTTCAACTATATAAATATTTCTACAAGGACAAAACAAACATAGAGGGGAACAGAACATGAAACACAGAGCCTATCGAGCTCACTGGCATCTGGTGATGATTATGGTAAGAGGAACTGCCACATGCTCAGTGACATTCTCTCATATAATCTAACAGTTCTAGGCTACGAGACATGAGACAAGAATGAGGTAAATACACTGGCTCTACTAGGATATGATGGTCCACATTTTCAGGGGCACAAGAAAGAAAAAAAAAAAAGGACAAATACACAAATAGCAATATTTAACTCTCAGGGGTACAGACTTGGGGTTGGACTAACTAGGAGCTAGTGAGAGGGCATGAAGGGTCCCTCTAAGAACAGATCAGCAAAGCTCCTCCTTAGGCTGTAAGGAACACAATGTGCTTAGGGGATAGAGGGCCATGGTTGGACATGGCATTAAATTTCCTGACTCAAAGCAAGACCTACACTCTAGAAGGTGAAATGGACATTGAAAATCAAGGACTATAGCCCTGTAGTCCACACCCAGGAACAGAGTCTACTGTCCCAGTCAAGGACGGGTTGGATATGCAGCTAGACCTGGTCAAAATGTCTGAGAACTAGCTGCCACTTTTGAAATCATGTCTCACAGCCACCTCTGGGAGAGCTGAGTAGCCAGCACAGCTAAGAGCTCTTACTCTCTCAGACCTGACAGCCTACCCTTTGTGAACATGATCTCAAAATGGGAAACAGCCAAGGTAACAAGTCTCTATCAAAGGTTACAACCTCCGCACCCATCATACCTTAAGCCCTCTCTCAATTAAAGGATGCAGGCACAACTAATTATCCAAGGACACACAGCCAACCAGCCAGTCATGCAAACATTCCTGCAGCCTCTCATTTAAACTTGATTTTAGGAGTCAGTAAATTTCTACACAGATTTCTCCATCTGTTTAGAAAGGCAGCATAGAATAGCCCCAGAACAGCAGATTCTGATTGGGGGAAAGGGGTATGCTAGCCATCTGATCCCAGGCACTGGGTGAAGGGTCTGTCAAATTCCATAGTATATAAACACTCTCACACTTCACAACCCAGGCCTAACACTTAACATGAAATGTGTGTAGAGTTAGGAGAGACAGGCACAGCTGGCTTCCCTAAGCCAGGCTAGTGGCTTGAGCCCCACATTTCTAGTAACCCAGAGCAGCTTGAGTAAAGGCCACGCATTGAGACATCTTAGGAGACAAGACAGAAGGCCACTGAGACCTTAGGTCACTGGAGGGAGGCTTTATCTTTTCTGCACCTGGGTGTAACACTCACAAAGAGTAACTACCAAAGGCTTGTCTTTTGTCCAGTCCATCCCCACCAATCAACTTTTCTGTCTGACTCAGAGAATCAGCCCCTGAATTTAGATCAAAGTCAATTTGTCTTACTTCTAGTAAGCAGATGAGGGTACTTGGAGGAAGAGTTATATCTAAGATGGTGTCATTCCTTGGCCATCTCCCTCAGTCTGCTGCCTGGGACAGAGAGGGATTAAGAGCAAACCCATAGCATCTGGCAGAAAAGACAGCTTTCTAATTAGGGGATACCAGGTCTATGGGGACTCCCCTCACCCTGCCCTGCACATCCTCTGGGGAAGCTGGGACACTAAGACTCACCCCTCAGAAGCCATGAGGCACTAGAGAGGCTCTAGTAACCTCAGCAATAAGTGGCTTCCTATGCCTGGGGGCCTGGCATACCCTGAACAATGCACCAAGCCTGTCCCACAGCAGTTTTGGCTCACTACTACCAGCTGTTCAGAGCAAAAATCTTCCTGCCAACCACAGGCTACCAGGAACTTCCCTGTATATCACTGAGAAAAAGGGAGAAAAGCAGCCTCTTCTACTCCTTCCCCAGTTCTCAGGAAAATCATCTTGATCAGGTGTACCCCTCCTCCTCCTTTGGTGCACTAACCCAAAAGATAGTCTGTTGCCTGATCAGGTGTACCCCTCCTCCTCCTTTGGTGTACCCCTCCTCCTCCTTTGGTGCACTAACCCAAAAGATAGTCTGTTGCTCCCAGACCCATCACAAGCTGAGGTCCTGGACCCTGTTAAAGTGCATATGTTCTTAGGCTATTGGGAGGGTGTCCCCCACTCTACACCCCAGTTCTTCAGACAGCAGATAATCATCTGTCACAGCACTCCAGCTTGTTAACAACCATGTGTGAGGCAGGCAAGATGGTGTGAAAGCTGTTTGTGTGAGAGCCAGCCCTGAGCCTGTGCTCACAGTCAAAGTAAGGGCAGTTGTGGCCCTGGGGAAAGAGGGTCCTCAGAGGACAGAGAGGAGGGGCTGCCTCCCAGTATTCTCACTCATGTGCTTGGGCTGTACCTTGTTGAGTTCCCTCAGTTTGCTCTTGGCAACAGCTGCATCCTCCTGCTCCGTGGCCAGTAGCTTTTCTTTTTCTTCTAGTTGGCGTTTCAGAATCGCTACGGGGTCACCCTTCTGAGTGGCCTAGAAATGTTCACAAAGCCACATTACAGAGGGTACAGATGGACACGTGGATCCCCCCAGCCCTGGCAATGAGACAATCGCAGAGTAGCTGCGCCTTCAAGATGAGTGGGTCCACCTGACTCCAGACACCACCAGGGGAAAGGATGGCTCTGCTAGGGACTCCTAGGCCATGTGCATAGGGATGCCTGGAGTGCTTTTTACAATCAGGGCATCTCTAGCCTCAGAAACCAGTACATACCAACTAGAGGCCACTGGCTACAGTGGGAGCTGGGGCAGGAAAAGAATACTCTGAGGACAGTGTGAGATATGCTGGAGCTATAGTCCCCCGTCCCTTTTCCAGCACTCATGCTCAGGAGACATTCCCAGTGCTCACTGGGTGAGGAACTCCTACCAACACTGAGAATGTACACAGCATGGGAGACAGCCAGGGAAGAACATCCCCTAAGACCTCTAGCCACTGAACTGTCCAGCAAAGTTATCATCAACCCAACTAGATAAGGATCAAATCCATGTATGCTGTACTTCCTGGCACTGGCTGGGGGCCTGGAGGGTAGGAACCAGCCTTTGAGTTTGCCCTTATAGCACAAGGGACATGTCATAGGACTCCCTCACACACACTGTGTCCAGATACCTTCCTTCCCACACCCTGCACTCTAGTCAAAACCCAGCTGAGTCAGCTGTGTTCCAACCCCAGGAGCACCTGCAGCACAGAGGTCCCTGTCCCATCTTCTGGTTTGGGTGGACAGGCAGTGGCAGATCACTGATGCGTGATCTACACAGCCTAAGCACAGACAGCAGTGGCAACATTCTGCTGGGAAGAAGTGGAAATTGGCCTAGGAAGTTTCTCTTTACAGTTTGACAAGTTGGGTAAGACTTGATAGGCAGTGTGTGGGGTAGGGGCAGGACTAAGCAATGGCACTGCTCCCTGTGGGAGAAGAGGACACCATAACAGGCCTGCAGTGGCCTACCTTATGCCAGGTGTCCTGAATAATTCCAGTCTTCTCAGAGAGGATCTCAATGAGACGCTGGGCCTCCCCCTCGCTGAACACCATGCTTCCAACCGTGGAGACCAGTGTCTTGTAGGGTAGGAAGAGAGGACTATCACCATCTGGGGGTCCTAGAGTGGGAAGGAGCAGAGGCTTACATTCACACCTCAAAACAAAGGATGTAGCAACAAAGCCCATCAGAAGGTGGCTTTGGTCTGAGCCAAGCAGAACTCTCTCCCACAGCTTCAGACTGGCAGGCCAGTGCACTGGGCCTCCTGCTAAATGATGGGTCCATATTCCATCTTTCTGATCTGCCCAGAGAAGGTCCCAGCTGGGGCTAAGAGTAATGTCCCTCCTTTTTTATAATGGTAGTGGAGATCAAATCTAGGCCTTACCATATGCTAGGCAAGCACTCTGACACTGGACTACACATTCAGCTTGCATCAAGACAAAGCTGAGCAGGTTGGGATATAGCTTAGTTGATAAGAGTGCTTGCTGAGCACATACAAAGCTCTGGATTCAAACCCCAGCGCCACATAAACTGGGTGCAGTGGTACATGCCTGTAATCCCAGCACTTCAGAAATGAAGTCAGGAAAATTAGAAGCTAGAGTTTGAGGTCAACCTGAGTTAGAAGAGACCCTGTCTTTAAAAAAAAAAAAAAAAAAAAAAAGACAGAAGAATTAAGCCCAACATACTTTTCCCAGGTGGCTCAGTGAGATTTTCTTACCTGGAAATGACCTACCCTCATGTCCCCATGGTCACTGACTACCCATGACTAACCATAACACTCATCATTCACCACACCGATTCCCAAAATCACACAAGCAAAACCATGAGAAAGGCTCAAAGGTGACAGGAGGTTGACCCATACACGAGGATCAAGTACTCTTATTTCTAACTCTCCCTGGATGGAGCTTAAACAGTGACTGGCTTTAGGAGAGGAAAGGCTGGGCTAGGTCTCCCAGAATGAGCCTGTCCACTCCCCAGTTCAAGACTTCCTGCCTTTCTCCACTCCCTCCCACCCCCAATGTTGCTCTCACTTTTGCTGCTCATGCAGCCTTGAAGGTAAGAAAGAGTGAACTGAGATGGCTCACCTAAAATGGCTGGGAAGTTCCTGCTGCTGAGGTCCAAATGGCCCCAAAGGTGAAACAGAAGATCAAATGAACGAGACCAGACTGCAATGCGAAATTCAACTAAACCTTATGAAGACAAGGACCAGGGAAGGTTTCTATAGCAACTCTGACTTCTCTGACTTGTCACAATAATTTTGCTTAGCAGTCATATTTTCATTACAAGTTGAAGCACTTAGCCTGATACCTTAATAAGAGGAAGGTGGGATGTAGGCAAGTTGGTTGCTATGAGCACCTTTATTTTATAACTTCTTACCTCAGTAAAGCCCAGTAAACTTAAAAATAAACACACTGGCATTAAAGGACTAAGAGTTCATAATGTCAAGAAGATGGAAGGGAAGATGCCCCTTCTTAATATCACTGAAACATTTATGTGTATGGTAAGCTAAAAAACAAAACAAAAACAACAAAAAACTAATGGTAAGTTTTATGTGCTGGATACAGTCCTGAGTGCTGCAAAGCCAAAATAAAATAGCCCCAATAAGCTCACTCTCAGGAGAAACCCCCACTGGCACATATTTGTTATACTGCTTTTCCATGCCCCTCAACCTTAGATGAACATTCACTGCTAGCACTGCCTGGAATTTGAGGTGAGGCCAATGGCCTCTCTCAATAAGCCTATGTCAAGCTGAGGGCTGCAGAGACATTTCCTTTCCTGACAGAATGGTCCAGCCACAGTAGTCCCTGAGACTTGTGCAACTTATGATGTGGTACAAGTAAAAAGTTTACGTGGGATTTCAAAACTTAGCCTAAATAAGAAAGATGGTGGTTGCAGTTAAGATTATAATATTTTGGATAAATCTGGTGAAGTATGTCATTAAAATTCATTCCAATTGTTAATGTGGCTACTCCGGACTGTTTAAGCTACAGACGTGGCTCTTAATGTATTCCTCCTGTACTAGCTGTTCTGCTCCCTCCCAGCCCCATAGACTCTCAAAGTGCTCCCTGCCAATTTCTTGGAAGCCCCTATCTTGCAGAGGTCCCTATGTGACTGAGACCTATGGCCTCTCTTGAATTCTCCACTGAAGACACTCAAAAAATAAACACCCAAAGACAGTTCTCCCAGGCCCCAAATCACAAGTCCCACCTTCATCCCACCAAAGTGAAATATATGGGTCTCACTGCTGAAGGCCTTGTACAAGTGTCAGCTGTGGAATGCTTCTAGGGTAATTCTATGAAACTATATTAAGCATTTTAATTTTTAAAAATTAACAGTTGTAACAAGAAAAACAATCCAAAGCTCTTTTAGAGTAAAACTAAACGTTCCCTGCCCAGCCCTCCATCTCCCTCCACCGAAATCTCCATGGCTTGCTCCACACTCACGCACTCTTTTTAAAACTTTTTTTTTAAAAACAAAACAAACAAACAAACAAAAAACCCTATTTTTTAGAAAGCCATTAACTTTACAGAACATTTTTCATTAAAGCTTTTAGGTAAAAACAGCATGATCTCCGTTGTCTCCAAACCAGAGGCAGTAAAACTGACAGAAAAAGAAAAACAGAAGTGGGAGCTAGAGCTCCTGGGCCTCTGGGTGAGTCACATCCAAACAACATTCCAATAGGAGAGTGGAGCATGTACCCAGCACCTCACTCACGTCTCCAGAAAATACTCGCAATCTTTGGTATTTTGAAATCTTAAAGGCACTAAAATAAATCTGCCAAAGACTCCACAACTAATCTGTTAAACCACAGCCTTCAAAAGGAGCAAGGGGCAGGGAATTCTAGAAGGTCAGGTCCCTGTGGGGCTGCTCTGGCAGCCAGGGCCTGGCCCATCTTGGTGGGTCTAGCCTGGAGAGGAATAAAGCAGATGAACGGTAAAGATCAGAGAAGCAAGTTATGTGGTGGCATTACCCAGGACCCAGGCTCTTCAGGGATGGGACAGGTGCTGTAACAAACAACCACACAGGCTCAGGGTTAAGTCTCTCCTGAGCTGAGGGAGCCGAGGCATAGCACTTCACTTCCAGGTGATAGCTCCCAAGGATCAATCAGGCCAGAACCCTCACAGCTACAGACTGTCCAAGAGACTGGAAATGAGATTTTCATATGCCATCTTTAAACTTTTAGTGCTGGCAGCTAACTCCATAAAAAAATAAATAGGCTGGGTGTGGTGGTGCACACCTTTAATCCCAGGGCTTGGGAGGCAGAGGCAGGTGAATCTCTGAGTTCAAGGCCAGCCTGAGTTACATAGCATGTTCCAGGCCAGCTGGGGCTATACAGTAAGACCCTGTCTCAAAAAAAAAAAAAAATCCCCCAAAATAGATAGACAGATGAGAGATAGATGAAAGAAAGAAGGAAAGAAAGAACAAAGCCAGAATGGGGCTAAACAATTGGGCCAGGGCCAATCTACAAGTCACCTTTGCCCTTAGACACAGCACAGCCTCCATGGCACCTAGGCACAAATTTCAATTTTCAACTCAACTCCTTCCCAACCTGTGTCCTTGGACAAGAGGCTTGACCACCCCATCCGTTTCCTTATCTGTGAAGTCAATAGGAGCTCCTCATAGCCTCGCTGCAAAGATTAAATTATAATGCTTGGAACAAGAAACAGACTAAAGCACTGAAAAATAACTCCCCAGGGCCAACTTTGGAGGCCCAACTATAGGAGGATCCCAGACCTTGAACCCTCCCTTAACAAACCACCCTGCCGTTTCCCTGCTCAACAGTGGAACGAAGTCATGCAAGGGTGAGGCTCTGACAAGGCCAAGGCTGGCCACAGAGATGTAGGGAGAATACCAGATTGTCCTTACTCATGATGCTGAAGAGGAAGGGTTTTTAAGGAAGAGGAGCCCTAAGCCTCCTAGACTCTCTACCAAAAAAATGTGAAGGGATTAAGACAGTGTGCAGAACACTTCAGACTTCAAAAACATGCTGCCTCTTACTATTACAAAGAAATGCTTTACCAACTTAAAAAAATTAAGCTGCTCTGCCACCCACAGCTGAGACAGGCCACAGGCAGCATGTTAAGTAGAGACTCCACTCCCAGATCAGGCCAGACCAGGCACCCTGCCTGTTGCTGATCAGCCCTCCCCAGAGCATTCAGGGCAATGATGAGCAGCTAGCTACACTTGACCCTGACTGCCACAATCACATTTGTGCCCTGCCCCCTCCAGGGCCCTAGAGCCAAGCACAGACAGTGAATGAAGAGCAGCCTGCAGAGGCCTTTTCCTTAGGCTGGAGGAAAGAGTCATCTGTTACCAAGAGGTGAGGATGTGCCTTAAATGGGATCTAAAATTCTAAAATATCCCACAGATTGAATGGCTACTTTCCTCTTTACTACCTGTTTTGTTTGTTTGTTTTTTTCTCCAAACTTCAATAGAAACAATTTTATACCTCGGGGGGGTGGGGGTGGTAATCATACAATATTTTAAAGAAAGACAATTGTGGGAAGGCCTTTGGGAAAAGACCCCTTCTCAGGCCTTTCTCAGGTACACAGGCTGGTCCAAGAAGACCAAGGAGACAGTTCCAATAGCAGTAGGTTTAACTTAGTGCCTGAAGAAAAAGACAGTCTTTATTATCATGGGCTTTGTAAACACAGCTGCCTGGGCAGGAACTGGAGTCCCTATACTATGCCTAATGGTGATCAAATGCAGCTTTCTAGAGGAACATCATCTAGCAGCTTCTCATAGTGAGACTTAGCTCCTTTCCTTGGGGAATCTTTTTGCTTTCTTTTTGAAGTGGTTGGGGAGAAGAGTGAGCACTGGATTTGAAGAAGTTACAAAGAGTAAATACGGGCTCGAAAGCCCCTGTGGGTTTCTTCAGAGCTTCAAACCCTAAAACAATGAGTTAAAGTCAAAAGAAAAAGGCTTGTTCTCAGTACACACCTGGTAGCTCCATCCAGCCTATCAGACAGGAAGGGGCCTGGGAGGGCTGCCATGGAGACCCTTCGCTGCCATCTGCTGGCCACATGACTTCTTCCAAGTGTGTAGTAGAACTGGGGCATGAGGGACAAAGGCAGGGAAAGCAGCACACCCTCCACAAAGCCCTGGCTGCACAACACAGTT